TTAATACCTTTTTCGTACCTGAAAGCATCTAACATGTTTTGGTATATACACGGGTGTCATATATATATAATAGCCACATGTAAGGCTAATACAGAGATAGCGATCCCCCATTGTACTATTAAAGCGCGGATTATATAGTCGGTCTACAGAAAGAGTGTGTGCAAATAGTTTTGTTGCAAAGAGTTTTTTTTTTACGAATCTTACATACCTTTTTTCGTCGCTGAAAACATCTAACATGTTTTGGTACATGGGTGTCTGTAAGAGCCACATGTAAGGCATTTATGTATGTAACCAAAGCCGTAGAAAGTATGATATAAATTGCTAATTGGGAGAGTAAATTTGCAAGGTAGTGACTGGCCGACAGACCGTTTTTTGTCGACCCCATAGGCATATACTCAACCACAGAAAGGTGACAGGGCTCAATGTCAAAAATAGGCTTCAATCATCCTACAAACATCCAAAATATGGCTCTCTTTTTGTATCATTCGCTTTGCCCAACATTCTGGCCACATTCCTCACATTGTGAGCGCAATGCAAAGGCAACAAACATACGTGTATAGAGGACAGTACTAGCCGGTATTTGCCATTGTCCCTACAATAGTTCTGCAAGTATTCCAGAGACGTCGTTTTTGTTGTTATAACACTTACAAGCTATTTGTAAAGACATTAAGTGCATATTTTGCTATGGGGCGAGGGGCAGGCCATACGGTGTAAACGAGCTAGAAACCAACGCACGAGTTGGAGCGGCATGTCAGCAACTCACATGTGACCAAACTTGTTTTGTGCAGGAAAGTAAGGGATGTCTCTAGTTTGGCAATGAATGACAACAATACTTATTCACTCTCAACATCCTTTACAAAATATCGGCTGCCTTACTGTCAAAATATCCAGGAAATCCATTTTCATTCCATACAACCAACCAACCAAGAGTGGAAAAAAACGTATGACATGTGCTGCTTAACATTTTACTTTACTTATTCACTCTCAACATCATTTCTAAAACATCGGCTGCCTTACTGTCAAAATATCCAGGAAATCCATTTTCATTTCATACAACCAACCAACCAAGAGTGAAGAAAAAATCTTAGCACATGTGTGTAACTTTTTAAAAACTTTTCACATAATGTAAAATATCTCTAGCACATGAAAGTTCATCTGAGTTGGTAAAATACATGAAGAAAATTCAACTGTTCTCCAACTCAAAAAGAAATGAACTCACCAGCACTTGGGTCAAAAAGCTGATGAAGACTGGGCGATTCAGTTGAAAATTTCTGGTGAGATAATTTCTTTTGAGTTGGAGAACAGTTGAGTTTTCTTCATGTAAAATATCTCTGTTTCGGACGATTGTTTTTCTCTTCGCAGTCTTCTTTTTGCTCCACGGCGTTCTTTGCTCTACTGAGCTTGTGAGTTAGTGAGTTAATTTCTTTTGAGTTGGAGAACAGTTGAATTTTCTTTATGTAAAATATCTCTGTTTCGGAGGATATCTTCTCTTCGCAACCTTTTTTTTGTTTTGGGGCGTTCTTTGCTCAGTAGATAGGCGGACAGTACGAGTAAATCCCGTGAAGTGGCTGTGATAACAGTTTAATCGGCTCACACCCCTATCTAGATCTCGACAGTTCGGTTGAAGTGTGTGCGTGCGTGTGTGTTTTTCCTCTAGACCCTAATCTCCAAGCAGATCCTAGGGTGGCAAAAAGACAGTATCAAATTGGCCAGGCAGTATCCATTGGCCAGAGAGGGTCCAATACGCCACCCAAGGTGGTGGGGGTAGCGACAAAAACGTATGAAAAGGTAACGATCTTTCCCCCATCAACCTCTGCTTGGAGAGTAATAGACCCCAACGTTCGGAGTAGTAGCTAGAGGGCTTGAGAGCGTGAACTCGAAGATTAAGTACAACCACAAACACGCTCAAGTTGACATTATGTATATATACGCCCAGCCACTTGTGTAAGTACCAATTCTTTCCCGGATGCTCACAATGCCACAGTGTGTACCACAAAGAACTACGTTGCTGTACTGCTAAAATTCCGAGCTTTTTTGTCAGAAATGCTAGCCTGGGTACCATCCGGATTTTCTCTCCGCAACGCTCGAAAAAGATCACATTTTTTCTAGCGTTGCGGAGCGAAAATCCGGATAGTACGTAGGCTACATAAATGCATCATGATGAAGTTATATAGTTTTGTGGCTTCTGAGGTTTTCTAACATGGCTAACAGAGCCCAAAGACCCAGAGACTTGCGAAGGAAAGCCTTCATCTTCCAATGAAGCCTGGATAGCTTTAGAATTCTTCCACCCAATTGAGCTCACTAGTCTATGTAGATCACAGGCCGATATGTAGACAAAGCCAAACGTAGGGTCACAAAAAAGTGTCTGAAACTCAACGGAAAGAATTCCTTTTTATCTTTCACTACATTATTTTTATCGAGTTGCACCGAATTTGTTAAAACACACTTTATTTGTATGAACATAAAAGAATCCACGGGACTGACTCTGTATGGAAGACAAATAAATCGCGTCTGAAGTGACATTCAATTTACACAGAAAAGCCGTTCCCACCATAAATAATTAAACGCGGTTCGTTGGAATTCGTGGTTAGTACATTTCCCATCCGTTTGTACACCTGTTCCTAGTGTTAACACCACGATGCTCGTTTTCACAAGAACAATACCCACCCTTTTGTTACCTTCCAAAGAAAACCCTTGTCTTTTATCCCAGGTATGTCCATATTGAATAAAATAATGACGAAGTAATAGAGCTCGGTGTAATTTAACTCTGGCGAGTAAAAAATGTTGGAACCATATGGTACCTGACGTGAACGTGTGGGTTAGGATCGTGGGAAAAGAAGGCGATAAATTGAAAGCTTTTGTTCGGGTTATCTGGTGTAGTTTCCGCGCCCCAGGCATGTACACAGCCCAGCCCGTGTGTGGACACGAGGAAAATTACACGTTACATTTAACTCAGATATTTGCAAAGATAATCGTTGTACGCTGTATGATTATATGAGAGTCAAGTGTCCTACATGAGTGAATTTTCTTTCTTTTTCTTTTTGTCTTGTTCATGAAAACGTAGTTGAACTTTATTCCTGGTATTTTGCGGTTACAATAATTCTTAGTTATGAATTTTCACTTTTACATGATTTCAATTTTTTTACTCCAGTTAAATGCTTTATTGATGATGAATGTCATATTCAATCATATATATGTACCATGTTTTCTTATTAAAACCTTAAACATAACAGGTTATTAGAAGCAAAAAACAATACAGTTGCGAACACATAGACTTACCAAAGACCATGCTTCGTTAGTTAACTTCTACTTAACTTCACATACAAGTATAGTATAGTTGATAGTTTGGACACACACGTTCACTCATAACATACACACAACGGCAACATGTTTGTCATATCTAACTACTTTAACCATAAATACGCCACTGCAGGTACAAAACTATTCAGGCATTGTCCCTCTACCAATAGACATAGTTATGGGTACACGAAAGTACTATTTTTGGTAAACCGTACGTCAATGCTTAGTGTTCTTTTCTGTTCGGACCCTCCCTGGCCTGGGGCATTGTTGTTCCAACAATTTAGTGAAACCAGTTATCAAACTACCCCAAACACACTCATCCCCTGGTTACTAAGAGCACTTGCACGAAAGGACTGTGTGTCCACGGGCCACCTACGTGGTCAGAAGGTATTGTACATAGTAAAGCTTGTGGAATATAGAACCAAAGAAAACTGCCTGCCCTCGGGTATAATACTAGTACTGTGGACACTAAGTACCCTTCATAGATTTGTAATACCATAATTATGTAGTCTAGGCGGAGTGGTAAAATAACTGAAGTATGTCTGTTACACGTTCCTTTGGGATTACATATAGTCTGTCTGAAAAGCTTACACAGAAAAAAATTATAAATTTGTGAAAATCTTACAACCATGGTAATCAAGGTATACGATTTGGTACTACGCATAAGATGGTTGTAGAAGCACTGCGTCAAACTCAAACGCTTTCTTCTAATCTATGATTAATTTCTGTGTACGGAATGTAATCTCATCAGTTTGTACGTCATTACTGTGGTATGGTCCTGAAATCCTAGTAAAGTCCAGCCATACTTGTGTTGATTAGACAAAGACGAAGATGCATTCCGCGAATCTGTGTGATCCAATAACGGAATAACTTCCCACGAGTTTTGATAGGTGGGTAGGGGGAAGTGATTTGAGCTCCATGTCAAATTTTGTTTTCGTCGATTAGGTCTCTTGTTTTCGCCAGGACTAATTCTTGCTAATTAGAACCATTCCAGTCGTGAAATATTAGACTTTCAACACCCCTTCTTCCTAAAATGCCCAACCTATCAAAAAAGCGGACCTACAATTCATTCAAATTGCCAAGAGTTATTTTCTTAAACACGCAAACACTGAAAGATGAGGAGGCTTTTTGATATGATACTTTCTATGACACACTTCGCTATACCCTAACGTTTAACATAGCAGATATATGAGTTGCGCTAGAGAAATAAACACTCTATACGACACCTACACCTGACCTAGTGTGCGTTTGTGTTTTTCTATCCCTTTTGGTATTTCCGGGCCGTACCGAAATAGTCTGGTAACGTCTACACCACTACAACAATATACAGTATATAGGTGTATGGATATAAATGTACTGAACACTTAAATAAAGATACTAGACAACTAAACACGCCGATACATAAAGGTATTTCATGGTCTTAGAACAGTCATAACAGTTACAAGAAGAGCAGATTTGGTAAAAAAAAAACATGCAAAACTATGAAATAAAGACTAAATTTAAACTACAATGAATTGGGACATACCTCAAATTTTCATTGTAGTGTTGGTAGGTAAAGTTTAGTCTTTATTTCATTATGACTTGTACCAACACAGATGGACTTTCATGCTAAGACATGCAAAACTATTACACCAGAATACACCGTTATTCTATGCCTATTACAGGTGTTTCTACACCTGCTGTACAGGTAGTTTTCTCACCTGGGTAGTCGGTGACACCTGTGAGTCCGGCGGCCTGAGACGCCATGAGGAGCGCCTGTTTGCAGGGGTCGGTCGGCAGGATGTCGCGGACGAGCTGGCCTTCGTACACGTACGGTACCGGCGGGGAGTACGGGGCCTGGTGAGGGGACAGACCGAACAAAACAGTTAGCCTCCACAGCATGCCAAAAACTGGTGTGTATTGGGGTCTTCAGTGTCTTTGGGATCTTTTATGTGCTATTTTCTGATGGCATATAGACAACATAGCCGGCCTGGTTGAATTACCCCCGTTAGAACTGGGCTAATCAGAAAACAGCCGAAGACCACCAAACCCCCAGTTCTGTAAGCCTGCTACGGAGTCTACAAAACAGTAGGGTTAGCATCATAGTTATGGGTATGTAGCGTACTCTGCAAGTAAAGGTTTGGGCTTTGGCTTAATTTTAGAGTTTTTCAAACTTCTTTATCTGGTATCTTTTCTTGTTGGGCTAGCACAAAAATGTCAGTACAAAAAGTAAGCCCGATAAAAAAAAGCCTAGAAACACGCCAAAAATAAGCCAAACCCAAACCTCTGCTTGGAGAGTCTATGTATACCGTGCGGTGGTCAATTTTTATCATTAACTCCTAATGATATAGCCTTGTTATATAGCCTTGAAACAGAAACATGTCGTCTTGTCTGCTTGTAAGTCAGGGCAAACGATGTTAAAGACACCTGCTGTAATATAAAGTGATCGACACAGACATGTGCATCTTTGCCAAGAGTTTTACAACTTGAGACGTTTACAAAGACACCTAAAATCTTTACATTACTGGATGTGTATATCCAACTAAATGTTTGACAGAGTGTTTAGAGAAGGATTATGTTGAGATCGAAGTTTGGTTACGCCGTAGTACCTACCCTGACGGGTATCTGGAGCCACGGGGCGGACTGTAGAGAAGTGGCTGGCGGCGTGGGGAACCCAGGGGCGCTGGAGAAGATCGGCGGCGGCGGTGGGTACGGTGTGATCCGGGGAACCGAACAGGTAAGGATCGGTGACGAGCCGTACATCGTTGCAAGTTTCTCTCTCTCTCTCGAAATCTGTAGAAAGGCCTTTCCTGTTTGAAGGTGCGCACTGTTGCGGTGAAAATACTTGTCCCAACGTGCAACTGTCAACGTTGGAACTCTACTGTTTGGTCTAGGACGAAAGTCTGACAGGATACCGGAAGTTTCCAACCGACGTGTACGCCACGCTGTGTAGACACTGTGAGAAGAAAGTCGTGAACTCGGAAACCTGCAGGTTGTGAGTTCGAATCCTCAAGAAAATAAGAAAATCTCGGCGTGGTTGTGTCTCTGTCGTGCGTCGGATACGTGTCGTAACTCTAGACTGACTCGCTCGCACTGCCTGACGTAGTTGTATACTACGCCAGAACACGTGATCTTTCCGGGAGGATGATTCACTTAAAATCCTTCACCAATCAGCGCCGCGACCCCGTGGCACACCTCCCGTGTCCCTCCTCTCCCCACCCGCGGATCTCCTAACGTTTATCAGGCCTGCCCGTGAAATCTTATTACGGTGTTTTATCAATACACATCAGGTGGGAAGCCCGCCCTTTCATAGTGTTGAGGCGCTTGTTTGGTCAGCTACGATACGCCACCGCCACTTTTAAGCCGTGTTTGCCGTTCTCATTCCGCCTGCTCTTAAGTGGCGATGATTTAGATAACGCGGGCGGGTTCTGAGAGAGAGGGATGGGCGAGCTATCTGCACCCGTAATCTCCCGGCTCCTTTCATGTCTGAGCGGGAAGATATCGAGTTCTGGGCCGGGCGAGTCATCGCCTTCAGCCGCGGCGCACCTGATTAGTTACCCCCACCATCTCACAGTTTACCTGGTCGCACGGCGTAAACAATCCGCCCTTTTGTGGCGCCCTGCGTAAACTGAGGGAAACCCGAGTCGTCCGCGAAGGGTGCTCGGGCCGTTTCCCATTCAGCCGCCCGCCACCGACTCCCGGTCCTCCGGTCAACCCGACACCGGTGTCCTTTCAGCCCGCCACGTCTCGTGTTCCGGCGCAGGGTGGGCCCCGCTTGCAATCCAGCGTGTAGTTAATTGATGCTAATTTTTTAATTGATGTCTTAACACGATGTAAACTTGGTGCCGGCGGTGTTGGGTTCAGTCCCGGGCCGGTAAGCGAGAGAGACCCTGGCGCCTGTAGGTAAAGAGAGAGCGGCCGACACGTTTCGTCCTGGGAAGTTGATCGATCCTTTTCTAGCCTCCGCGTGGGCCGGCCGCCACGTCCTGCCGTCCGCCCAGGCTCGGGTTCTACCCCCTCGAAGCCCGACCTGGAGCCGAGACGAAACCTTGGAAGAAGTCCTTGGCACTTTGCGAAAAGAAACTTCACAATCACGCGCTCACAGAACAAACAATCCCCTCTTTAAAAAATATCGTCGGCGCCAGTAGAGGTGTTCTTTGCAGAGTGGACAAATTTCCTACCGATAGCGTCACGTATAAACCACTTAGCAAGACTAAATCTTCCCAAGGTGAATACCATTTGATCCAACGGGATCTAAAAATGAGTCTCTAGTCACAAGTGTGTTTACTAAAAGAACAAAGAGTTAGAACATGTACTTTGCGGGCAAAACAAAACATCTCAACTCTAACGGGAAAAGAACATTAAGGCCACACAGACTTAATTTTATGGATGACATCAGCGCGCGCATTGATTTTCTCCTGTTCTAAAAAAAAACACGTCCACCGAGGCTCTGACTTGGCTCTAGGCCTGGTTAGTCCATGGTAGTTAGCGACAAAATGGAGCCGGGCACCCAGGCTACCGAAGATCCACGACTCAAGAACAAGTACATACCGTACGCACAGTGCCGATTCATAAATTCCGCAAAAAGCCAGCATGTGCCGGCTTGTCGTATACGTCGCTATGTACTGCCGCAAATTCACAATACCAGCTTCGTATTCTTGTGGTTTAGTAGCATTTTTATTTTTTTGCCGGAAATTTTTTTTATTCGCCCGCGCGCACTACTTTGGGGGTCTTCAGAGGATGTCATCCATAAAATTAAGTCGGTGTGGCCTAAGGTAGCCGCGCAGGACCCTGAACTTCCTGTCTCCTGACAGGTTATTAGTGTGTTAGCCGGGTCGGTTTATGCCAGCCCGTGCCCCATTGTTGAGCGTACCACTTTACATTGTTGCTATAACAGTTGAAACTTGTCGCTACAAATTCAGGGTGTAGGGGAGGGCCCAGGCCCACTCTAAAACCAAGCGTAGGCATGTTTTGGGGTGTATCAAAAGTCTCGGGTTTCTTCCTCTTCGAACTTTCTTTGTTTCTCCATCAAAATACAAAATTCTAAAAAAAAGGGGACATTAGTAAGAATTACCATGGATTTTATGAAACTAAAAGGGTAACAAAATACACTTATTTCTTTAACTTAAGTTTAGAACTCGCGGCAGTATCATAAAAGATACGTTCTCAAGAACCACCTATAAACTACGTGTTAATTTTTCTTTCTCAACAGTAGAGAACACATTGATAGGCTATGTTTACGTACGTATACATAGTTGTTGGAAATTCATGTTGCATTTCATCTGCGTGAGAATTTGTCTAGTACAGAAAGTGTAGTCCTAGGTCCTAGTTTATTATAATGAATTATGGTACACGTTGAACCAAGTTTTGTCCTTTTTGTACGGTCCCTGAAGTCAGTAAATAGACCTCTCTCTCCTCACGGCTATTTTCCATGCCAGGTTTCTTTCAGTCTCTCTCCATGCAAGTTTATCATTGTCTAGTCCTAGTTTCTAGTTTCTTCTAGAATTCTGGTAGACGTTGAATCATTGTATGAAAACGTTTTGTCCTTTTTGTACGGTCCCCCTGAAGTCAGTAAATAGAACTCTCTCTCCTCACCGCTTCTCCTTTCCTTTCAGTCTCTTTGCAAGCAAGTGTATCATTTTCCCGCCTAATCTGTCCCTCCATCTCGCCCTTTTTTTGGCGGGAAACCTGAACCCAACCCTTCCAGCCAACACATACATGAGGGTCTGCATGCCGTTTTTCGTCAGGCGTAACCAGGCCTTTTTAGTCTTCGTAATCCGTAGGCAGCCTCCCCAAAATCAACGTAATTCGTAATAGTACATTAGCTGCAAAGCGTAAAGTCGTATTCAGCTCTGAGACTTTAACGTAATTCGTAATCGGTGGCAAAAATTTTGTGTAATTCGTAATCACTTCACCCCCATGCAGACCCTCATACAGGCTTTAGGATCGGTGACTCGCTGTGATTACAAATTGGGGTACATTTGTCATACAAGACTTCCAATCAAGTGGGTAGTATAGCCCTGTGTTTAGATAAGCGGCCACTTTCCCAGGGCTCTACCTGTACACAAGTGTGGATACGCGGGGCTTAGGACAGGTGAAGAGTTTACCCACGAATCAACCGACTTTGTAAACTATCGTCGCCTCCCTGGCTAGAACAATCTCTCTAGCCTCTACCAGGCTTCGGAAGGCGGCTGGAAAGAGTAGAACTCTGCCAAATATACTATGCCAGTAGCTAGCCTCTGTCAGGCTTCATGAGGTGGCTGGAAAGAGCAGAAATCGGTAAAATAGAGAGATAACATTCCGAGGGAGTTGGTCCGCCAGAGAGTACATTTTGACTGTTCTCTCCAGCAGACCAACTCTCTCGGCATGCTATCTCTCTATTTGGTCGATTTTTACTCTTACTCCAAGCGCCTTCCGAAGCCTGGTAGAGGCTACAATCTATTCTCGACCAAAAGGAAGGAGTTGTAGAGTTTCTATCCATGTCCGATTCTAGGATGTTTATACTTGCAATAAGCATAGTAACACATTTCATACTTGATAGCATTGTTACTGTTAACAACCAATCTAGGGGGCATTTCATCAATGCAAAGAAGCATCTAGGGGGCATTTCATCAATGCAAAGAAGCATCGAAAACTTTCGAACCATGTTTTGTTGTTTGTTTCCATGATTGAAACACCAACTCACAATCATTTATCAAAATGCCAATACGAGAACTGTTGAAGTGGAAATGATGCCCAAGATTGCTTTGACTAATCTAATATCTTAAAGCTAATATTTGCCTCCTTCTTTTCAAACGACTTTTGCGATGACTTAATTGATGGACTGTTGAGAACTTGAGCAAGACCCCTTTGCGCTGTGTCTCGCTGTTCGTTTGTTAAAATTTGTTTGGCATAACAGGTGAACCGCCTTTTTCAGGCATAACACACCAGTTTTGTACATGTACGTACAAGCTACGTAATACCGGACTGTAAGGTTTGAACCACTCACACCGGGAAGGTCCCCTACTCTTTTTTTATAAGTGTGGTGGGTTTTTTAACGTGCGTGGGGTGTGGTTCTCCCAAACACGGGACCTCCATTCTAGGGACGTCCCTAACCGAAGCTAGGTAATCATTTACACTTGAGTCCAGTGAGGAAAGTCGTGTAAAGTGCCTTTCTCAAGGGCACAAGATCGGTGACATGGGTAGGATTTGAACCCGGGACCTCTTGGTCCTGAGCCGAACAGGCTACCGCTACGCCACACGACCACACAACGGTAACTTTTCTAAACGGTACGTCGAGGCACTTTCACAAAAAATCTGTGATCCATAATGTACTGGTCATCTTGTGGCCCCAAAAGTGACCCTTCGTGCTTTTGCCTCTGTCTAAAATTGTTTACAAATCTGACACCGATGAGGATCTGAAACCCACACCGAATACAGCTATAGAGTATCGTAATCTGTCAGCTACTGCAAACCGTACGGACAAGCTGTCACTCACTGGGAGCAAAGTGGTGGAAACCAGATCGAAGGATGGATCAGAGACTCAGATGTTTTTGTTTTTGTTGTCTTTATTGTTGTCAGCAATAAGCCGTTGTTATCTAAATTCTAATCAGGTCCAATTAAGAGGGATCATACCGAGTATTAGGCTGTATTAGGGAACTCCGTCCCGTTCCAAAAAACCCGAAACATGATGCACGTGGAGAAAGATTGTTGTCTTACATAATAGAAAGTAAGAACTTGCAAGAAATAACAAAAAAAAAGTACAAATGATAAAAAGTACTACTTTGGATATAGTTATTGTTGGGTTTGATTTCTTTTCTGTATGCAGTAGAGCATGAAATGGCCGACATTTTGCGAGATATATGAATTGGGAGGTGTTAATAGAAATGCAGTTTTTTTTGTAGACTGGGAAGGTGAAAAAGCTGGGGAACATTTTGGTGACCATTTCAAAAAAAACTTTTCTCTTTCGGTGCACCAATAGATAGGTAGAACCAGCCTACGATACGAAACAAGCAACCACTTTCTATTAATGACGTTGCATTTTTGTCACAGTATAGGATTCATATTCAACTTAGGCCACACCGTCTTAATTTCATGGATGACATCCGTGCGCGCATTGATTTTCGCCTGTTCTAAAAAAAATCACGCCCTCCGAGGCTCTGGCCTGGCTCTAGGCCTGGGTAGTCCATGGTAGTTAGCGACAATACGGAGCCGGGCACCCAGGCTACCGGAGCTCCACGACTCAAGAGCTCAGTACATACGTACAGTACTAGTGCCGATTCATAAATTCCACAAAAAGCCAGCATGCGCCGGCTTGTTGTATACGTCGCTAAGTACTAGGTACTACCGCAAATTCAAAATACCCGCTTTGTATTCCTGTGGTTTAGTAGCATTTTTATTTTTGGCCGGAATTTACTTTTATTCGCCCGCGCTCACTAGTTTGGGGGACCTTCGAATTAAAAGGATGTCATCCATAGAATTAAGTCGGTGTGGCCTTACTACTTTAAAAGAATAACCAGAAACTTGACACAGCAAATCTAGTTTACTGCCCTAAAATTGCTTTAGGTGCCTTTTAGACTCCAGTTGTTGCAAGAAGCGAACTTCCCTCTACCTTGAATAGACATTTCCTGTTCTCCCAGAAGTCGTGAGTC